ACGACACACACACACACACACACACACACACACACACACACACACACACACACACACACACACAAAGAGCACACATCATACGAAGACAGGCTTCGTGAATGTCGCTGTGCTGTACATTATCCCTGCGGCTCATCTCCAAACAACCACTCGCATTCATTCGCCTTGTGTCGCATAGCTGGCCACATCTGCATACAAGGACAGCGTGTCTGTGTATCTCGTGGACCTGAAGCGCGTCAACCACGACCGCGCAAACGCAAAGCAGACCATCCCAACACCGTGCGTATTGCCTCTGGCCCACTGTTGTTGTCAGTGTTGACGCTGCTGTTGTCGGTAACAAATGCACTGGTGCTACCTCATGCCAGCGCAGTTATCTCAACCGCTTGCTCACGTGCAACCCCTTCTGTAAACCACCGCTGCCGCCGTCGTCACCGCCGTCACCGCCTCCTCCACCACTGCCGCCGCCAGGTCGTCTGCGTCTGACGAGCGACCAATCACCGTATCGAAGCGGCGCCCAGAGTCGACGGCGACAGCAGCGCCTGACCGCTCGAACTCGCGCCGAGCACGCCCGCAGCCAACAACGTGAGTTGATGGAAACATGGACACCAGACAGTGGGACCTGTGGGATGATGGCGTGGTCGTTCACACACGCTTTCGGACACAAACACACACACTCGTACATGGTGCTGCTTCTCATCTCCCATGCTGTGAACCTCTCCCTTCCCTCCTCTCATCCTCCTGCCTGCCTTTACTCCCTGCTCCTCCCAGCGCTGCGCCGCCGCCGTCATCATCTGCACCGCTGCCGCCGCCAGACCCCAAGCTGTCGAAGGACGAGGCCTTTGAGTCCCGTCCAAAGATCCGTGCGTTCACCTGACCACGACAGCCCTCCCTTGCTGCTTGACAAGTGCCCGTACCCCCCCCCCCCACACCCCTTTTGCACAGGTTCTCTATTCTGCCTTGTGCCTTGGGTCGTTGCGCTCACCCCACTCTTCCTCCTCCTCCTCTTTCCCATCGCCTGCTCGCCACGAACCCCCCCTCCCTCTCTCACATCGCCACGATCAGCGCGCGAGCCGCAGGTTGACATCCGCGTGGGCGCCCCGCCCCCGCGACAGCAGCGCGCGCCGTCATCGTCATCGTCCTCGGTGGCATCGCAGCCGAAGCAAGTCCAACCACCGGCGCCAGCACCAACCACAGCCGCGACCACAGCAGCACCACCCGCAGCAACCACAGTGCCCGACGCGCCATCGTCATCGTCATCGTCACCGCCACGATCGCGGTCCTCTGCTGAGGCGTCGCCGCCGTCGCAGTCGTCGTCGCAGGGGCGGTCGCGCGGCCGCGTGCTGCCGGATCCAACACTCTCACAGTCCATCTCGGCATCCAGACTCGCACAGCAACAACAACAGCAACAACAGCAGCAGCAGCAGCAGCAGCAGCAGCAAACACCATATGCGCCGCCCGCAGTGGATGTGTCGTCGACGTCGTCAGCAGCGCAGCAGTCAGCGGCGGTGGACGAGGGTGCAGGGGAGCTGGGCTTGACTAGCGGCAGCGGGAAGGCGCTGTGGAACAAGACGGACCGCGTGCTGATTCCCGCCGTCCGCGAACGTCCGCTCGACCTCGACTTCAACGCTTTCTTGCCAGTGAGTTGCGCACACGCATTTGTACACACGTGTGTATGAGCGAGCGTTCCTGGACACACACACACACACACACACACACACACACACACACACACAGAAACAGACACATGGGCACATATCGTGAAGGCCAACAGTTGCGCAAGTGATGTATGTGGCTTGTGCTGGGGACCACAGCAAACCTTTGTGAGTGTGTGTGTGTGTGCACCAGCAAGACTATTGGCAGTTCGTCTTAACCTGACGCGACCTGTGAATGTCATCCATGGCTTTGTAGGCGCCGCTTGCACAGGCGGCGGTGGCGGCGGAACAGTCTGAAGATGATGTGCTGCAGGCGACAGGCCAGGGTGTGTATACTGTTGCATGGTGCATCGTGTGTGTGTGTGTGTAACGTCCTGTATCGTGTGTGTGCATGGGTGTATTGTGGATATGGCAACTGCTGCCCAGAGTGGAGCGAGTGAGCTCACGTGTGATGACACCATGCACTGTGATGACACCATGCAGGCCACAGCACCATCATGGCCGTGATGGGCACACGCGTGCGGCACGTGCAGACATTCAGGCGCATCTGGGAGCAAGGGAACCGCAGGGTCAGTCAGCGTGCTCGCTGCAACCACAACCACAACCCCCTCCCGCTGCTCCTGCTTGTGTCACGCGTTGTCCTTCACCTCTCTCACACCATCCCGAGACGCGTCTCAACCCCAACCGCCCAACTCCCATTTCCCCCCCCCTCCAACTTGTCCTTCCACATCTACAGCGCGCGTTGGAGCAGCTCGTGGACCTCGAGGACAGTGCAGCGCTGTCGGATGTGCTGGCCATCCTCGTTGATGAGCCGACGTCATGGACGCTTGATCTCGCTGTCGCCATCGCCCCGGCGCTGGAGAACCTCGTCCGCAGCTCATACGACAGGTGCGCACTGCCGCAAGTACACCCGTGGGCATTTGTGCGTATGTGTGTGCCTGCGTATGTGTGTGTATTTGTTTGTTTGTGTATGTGCGCGATGTGTGCGTGTGTTTGTGTGTTCATGCGGCGCCTGTGCCGGTCTACTTCTCTCTTCACCACCCGCACCGTGTTTACTGTTGTTTGCACCTTCAGTTACGTCGTGAACGCATGCAACGTCATTGCTCTCATCACCAAGAGTTTCGGCACCCTCATCAGAGGTGAGAAATGATGCACACTTACGCATGTGCTGAAGTGTGTGTGTGTGTGCGTGTGTGCGTGTGTGTGAAGACACCTTTCACATCATCGCCATCAACGTGACAGCTTGCACCTTTTCATGTCTGCTCGCTCACCTCACTTCCATCGTCGCATGTCTGCGCACGGCATGTGTGTGTGTGTGTGTGTGTGTTTTCTTCAGATTCTGTGCGTACGCCGCCGTCCGGCCATGGCATAGACATCACGCGAGAGGAGAGGTAATGCAATGCAAGGCCATGAAGTCTTGTTGTATTCGTGTGTCCTTTGGTTCGCTTGAGGATGCGTCTGTGTGTGTGTGTGTCGGTGTCGCTGTGGTAGACCCGCCTCGGCCCGCCTCCACATTGACATGCAGCAACGCTGACGACTACCCACCACGCCTGCGCCTGTCCTCCAACAGACACGAAAAGTGCTCGCTGTGCTACGAGAACCTGATGGTTGCGCGCGAGGCGTTGAGCGAACGCACGGGGGCGACGGGCAAAGTTGGCAGCGCCGCGCGGCGGGCCGAGAAGGCGCTGTCCATCTTCGGGCCCATGCAAACATCGTGATTGCGGCAGTGGTGGTGGTGGTGATTGTGGTGGTGGTGGTGATTGTGGTGGTGGTGGTGATTGTGGTGGTGGTGGTGGATGGCTGGGTTGCTGTAGGTTCATGGAAAACCATGCCTGAGAAGCGACAGGGAGGCTGGCGGCCCTTGTGATTGTTTGCATTTACCCTTTGATGACAGAAAGCCATGTAGACATATGCAGATGTGTTGGTGTGTTGTTTTTGTTTTGCTGCCCATATGTTATGCTGTGGTGTTTTGTTGCAGGCGCGTGACTGTTGCTTGCTTCCCTTCTCCTATACATCCCCTTCCCTTCAGGAATTACAAGGTTGTGTATTTGAACCTACGCTTGGCACTGTTGGCAGAAGCAACAGCAAACTTGAAACTGGGAGAAAGCAGACTGCAACGCGACAGCACACGACAATGACACACACACACACACACACACACACACACACACACACACACACACACACACACACACACACACACACACACACACACACACACAGACACACTCTTTCACGGCCACTGCTCAAGGATGGAATGGCTTGGACTTTGACTGGCTTACAGCTTCTCGCACTCGCGGAGCAGATTCAAATCGGGCGACTCAATGTGATCCTGGTGACGGTGCATGGGATGATGACGCAGTATAAGACGAGAGCAAGCCGACAGCAATGCCACGCGTGCACACACATACACAGACACACACAGACACACACACACAGACACACACACACAACACAGACACACACACACACAACACAGACACACACAGCACAGACACACAGACACACACACACACAACACACACAACACAGACACACACACAACACAGACACACACAGCACAGACACACACACACACACACAACACAAACACACAGACACACACACACACACACACACAACACAGACACACACAGGCAAGGGCTGACCTTGCTCTGGATGAGCCGCAGCTCCTTGTGTCGCGCCGTCGGTGCTTCCACATGGCGACAGTACTCGTACGTGCGCTGGCACACACCCTGCACACCCCACATCACACAGGCGACTCGTGGTGTGAGCACGCACACACACACGCACACTCACTCACAAAGCAACAGACATAGAGACAGACAGGCAGGCAGAGACAGACAGAGAGACAGGCAGGCAGGCACCCACACCCACACCTACACCCACACCCACACCCACACACCCACACACCACACACACCCACACCCA